GGCGTTAGCCAGTTAGCCCATTGTCAATGGTTTTGGTATTTAGATATCAACGCACTGGTTGTCATTGCCTCCTTCGTACAAAAGTCACCAGCCAGGACGCCCAAATGTGACTCACTCATGTCGATTACACGCAACCATAAGAGAGAAAAATTACAAAAGTAATTTTAACTGAAAGAATTGAATATTACCTTTCGAGGTTACATTGCACTTGTAGAGCAATAATTTTTCCAGTTGCGACTGCTCGTAAGCATATCCCTTCAGAAGACTCACTTCTTTTCATTTTAATATTTATTCACACTGTATAATGAAAAAGTTAATAATGAATTGATTTTGAGTAAATAAAGTTGCTCTCTATCATGTGCCTCTTTGGAGCACAAAAAACATGATAAAACGACAGGTCTGTGGGGGCGCTACTAGGCCTTCATGGCGCATTTTTTCGAATTGCTCTCTAAACTTGTAACTCGATCTGTATGATTAGCGGTACTACAAGTAAATATCAGGATTGTAATCCCGAGAACGAGACTGAAATATAATGAGAAACAGTAGTGGTCACATGGGTAGGGTGCGGCGGCGGTCATCTACAGATGCTTATAAGCTTTGTCTCATTTTCCCCTATTTCTATAAAATAAATATGAAAAAACTATACATTCATATTACATGGCTTTCTCAGTTATCCTGATGTGCAAATCAACGATGAAATATAGATGCGTCAATTTTTTTTTTCTTAAGAATTTTGGGTGAATTATTCCATCTCAAGAACTATCAAATATATCGACCTCGAATTTGATGTAGGACTGTTGCTTGATAATCCTAGCTGGAAGCCAAAGTTTCAAAAGGTTTCCCTGAATTTTACCCATGTTGCAGTGCGCAAAAGTGAATTCCGACCAAAACAAGTGGATATTTCGATTTTTACGTCAGCTAGAAACCATACAACGACTTTTATTCAAAAATAGGGAAATCCAGATATCTCGAAAACTTTCTATGAACAGGTATATACATTTTGATTGATTAAGATAGAGGACAAAAAGACGAACATTTCGAGAAAAAAAAATTATTGCACCAAGTTAAGGATAATCGGGCGAAGAGGAAATGTAGGAGGTGAGGCGGAGGGATTTCTATTGTTTTCCTGCAGAAAACCAATCGCTGAACAAAAAAATTTTTCCCATTCGGATTGAAAATTCAAGCAATATTAGGGAGTATCTCCGGTTAAAAATTATTTTTGGAGCTAATCAAATTTATTTGTATCTGTTCCACGCATTGAATGGTTTTCAGGTTGTTTTTTTTTTAATAAATGCAAAAATATTAATTCATGCGAAAAAGTGGCAACATCGTCGGTAGTTTTTTTCCTTTTTCACCAGGAGCTGGTACCACTGGCTCGAGGGAGCTCCAATTACAACGCTTCATCGCTCTCCCTCAAGAGACGTTTAAATTGACCGCGCTACCCCCACCGGATCGGTACTTCGTTGCTGCTCGTTTGGGCTGCGTGCCCAGAAATTTCATTTTTCAGTACTTTTTTTGCGATTATTAACAAACAATGCTCCTAGTCGACAATCATTTTCACTCAAAAAATCATTGATCACATGTTCTAAATGTGTCTAAAGTTTCATGACTTTGGCTACATTTTTTCCTTGGGTTTTGCAGATTTTTTTGTGATTTCCATAAGATCACGGATTAAATGACCACTTTTTCAAAAATTCATAATAAATTAACCACGCTCCCCAGCAGTCTGAAACTTTACATACGCCTTTTCCATCATTTAAAGAATATGTAAAAAAAAAGAAAAAAATGGCTGCTTTTTTTCCAACTCTCCGGGCTCGCCCGATTATCCTTAACTCGGTATTGAGATATTAAAGAAATTAAGCTTACATACACAATTAAATATCTCTGTAACTAATTATCCGATTTAGCCCAGATTCAATATGAACCGTTGTAATTACCGGAAGCAGCTCTCGGCCAAATTTTCAGTTGATATTTCGATGTTTATGACTGCTAGAGACCGTACAACGACTTTGAGTAAAAAATTGGATCATCGAAATGATCGAAATATCTCGAAGACTTTGTATGAACAGGTGTACATATTTTGATTGATCAAGATAGAGAACATCAAGACGAACATTTTGAAAAAAAAATATTGCAATGAGTCAACTCGTCATAGAGATACTGAAGAAATTATGTTTACATACAAAGTTGAATATCTTTGAAACTAATTATCCGATTCAGCCCAGATTCAATCCGAATCGTTGTTATTACTAGAGGCACATTCGTGCCAAATTTCAAGTTGATATTCCAATTTTTGCATCTGCTAGAGACCGAAAAACGATTTCGAGGTAAAAATAGAAAAATCGATATATCTCGAAAACTTTGTATGAACGGGTGTATATATTTTGATTGATTAAGGTAGAAGACATCAAGATGAACATACAATACAATAAACTGACAAAATTTCAAATTATTTGGGATAATTTTGCCCATTTATTCGTTGATTTTAAGAAAAAGTGACCACCGACTGAACATGCTCACACACAGACATGGTCCTCAAACTGTGTATTTTTCCGTTTCAGACCATTCTGCATCGTTTCCAAGCAAAATAAGCGAATTGAAAAATCGATCGAATGCAATGCTTCCATTCGGAAGCAAAAAACTTGGAAAATTTGAGCCGAGGAAATTCTATAGAAAATATCTCAATAGAATAAGTTATATAGAAAAATCGAACTCTATTGACTATTCAATATATTTTCTATTGAATATTCTCTATTGAATATTTCAATAGAATCGGCCAAAAACTAATAGAAAGTTCAACAGAAATCCAATAGAATTTTCTAACGAATTCGCTAGATTTTTCTATTGAATTTTTTCATCCGTGCAAAGCGTTCATTCGGAAGCAAAAACTTTTGTGAAATATGTCGGAGGATAAGTTTTATGAATGAATCATCATTAAGGCCGGAGACTTCATTTACGAAAACGGCTATGATCAGAAGTTGGCTCCAAATAGGTGATTGAAGTGAGCGACAAGTAGGGTTGGGAAGAAATTGAAACATTGATGTTGGAATTTGTCATAATTCATTGATTGGAGGGTTATTTTGTTGACGGAGTGAGGAAAAGCGTTTGACCGTGAATTGGCTTTTTCGAAGAGGGTCAATGGGAGATCTCGGTGATTTCTTAGGGTTAACTTACCAGGAGAGCTATCGGGTTCTTTCAAAAGGGGATTAATGGAGGCCATGGTCGAGGGGAGATCTTGGGGGTCAGTTCCCAGGACAGCCCGCAGGGTATTTTAAGGGAGGGGGGGGGTCAATAGAGGGTATGGACGAGGGGAGATCTCGGGAGGTTTTTGGGGGGTATCTCTATAGTGGAGCTCTCGGGGTATTTCTAA